GAAAAATCAGGAATTTACATGGGTGAAAATTTCATTTAGGTGTTGTAGAGTTTGAGATATAGGAACAACTAGCTCAGGGGTTTGTTATTATTGTTTTTAAATTTCTGAATTGTTTTAAAGCCTTTGGATAATAAAGTGATTTATTAAAGGATGTCAAATACTTGAAGAATCTTACTTTAAAAAATAGCATTGCACTCTTATTAATAAGTTTCTCCACCTGAGTTAATTATTTTTCTTCAAATATGGCCTGTTGGGAGACTTTTAATTCAATTTCTTCAAATGTAGCCTATTGGGAGACTTGTGTCTGTGGAACACATCAGAAAGAAGTGGCTTCCTCAATCTTGACAACCACATGGCCCCTCAGGGTTGCCCTGCAAGGAAGAGCCTTGGCTAGCCTGCTGGGGGAGTGACAGCCTTTAGAGCTCTGGTTGGGCTGCCTGGAATCACAATCATTGTGCACTTGGCTGCTGACAAGCCCCATTTTAGGACATCGTTGTGCACAAACGTAGGAAGACTAAAGAGAAAAGAAATCAACCAGTTTTACCACAGGGAAAAGAATGAAGGAGAAACCAGCAGGGACACACAAGTACTGAGAATATACCTTAGGTTGGAGCTCTGGATTGATACATGGCTCCCACACTTAGGTATAGGGAGAGAGTAGCAGATCTGCACAGAATGTGAGGTCAGGTGCTACATCCAATTGAGCTTCAAGACAAGGGAATGAGGCTGAACCTGCAGAAGTTTAAGATGAGTGCCTGTGTAAGCCAGAGTAAGAGGAAATAAAGCAAAAATTGACATACATATACTGGGAATTTGATTATTCTGGTGAAATCAGGAAGAAGCTTAAAACCAATAAGGGAATAACATTATTAGAATACCATTAAATTGTACAGAGCAGGAAGGAATGTCAGAAAAAGTAGCTGGTAAATTGGATTTTTTTACAGTTGTCAAAAAGAAATTCTGCTTTTTATAACTTTCTGACATACAGAACTATCTACAATTTGGTTATAATGGACATGATTTCAGTGATTAAATGTTGGTACTTTGCCATCTGTATATCAAATAAACATTTTCTTAAACATGTATTTTGTCTATTTTGTTTCACAATGCTTCTCTTTGAGGACACCTAGATTTTTCTCTGGAATGGGTAAATATCATCTTTTAAAAACTGCCTTTCTTTTGTTTCACAGATAGAGTGTCTCATACATTAGCCTATGTGCTTCTCATTTGCTATTAGAAAGCTTCGAACTAAATTCACAAGCTATTCCTAACAAGGCAGTAAACTCCTTGAAACATACATTGTGACCTCTTCTCACTCCTCACTTTGTCTTCCCCTTATTTTCTCTAAACTAATTTTCTCCTGACTGTGATAATCTATTGTATCTTCTTATTGTTCTCATGTATCATTTAAGCTGGAACAAAAAAGTATACATGAATTAAGTATCAATTGCTATATATATGGGCATTTCCCAATGTTAAAAGAAGCTTTCTTCTTTTGTTGACTTTATATTTTAGAATACCAACTACTAATTGTCCTAAAAAATATGTCATGAAGTAGAGGAGTGATTTTCTTCAACACTCTGAATCCTCACAAATTCCAAATTAAGTTAGGCCCAAATAAAGATATGAACCCATCAGTAGCTCTGTGGGGAAAAGCTGAAACAATCTCCTATGTGATTTACAGCCATTGGGAACCCAGTGGAGCATCAGCTAAGAGATGGTTCCTATTTGAGGGCAATGAGTGAAACAAAGACAGTGGTTCCATTTGGTAAATGAAGTTCATGCACTGTATTTATTTTTTTAATTAAATTTTATTAATTTTAATAAACATTTACAGAGATTTTGGATTTCCATTCATTCATTGTTGCACTATTTTCTCTATGCCCCCTAGTTCGTTCCTCTTTTTTTCCCCCCTTGAAAGTCTGTTTTAATTGTCCCATTGCCACAAAAAAAAAGCTTGATTGGAATTTCAGAACCAACATAGACAGTCCTTAGGTTACAAATGAGATCCATTTCTAAGTGTGTCTTTAACTTAAATAGATAGATTGGATTAAGTGCACACAGTTGTTATTTAACCTTTCTTTCTCTTACTTCCATCAAAACCCAGTGGAGGGCTCACTGTGGTCTGTGGATTAGCAGCACAATTCTGTGGGACTATGCCATCAAAATGACAACAAGAAAAGGCTGGAAACCTTTTCAGTGATATAAAAACTATACATGTAGCAAGTGAAGATAATGACATTGTTAATAATTAAGGATTGCTTTTTTATCATTATCATTAAACCAAAGCTACTGACCATCAATCCAATTCTCACTCATAACCCTGTAGGAAAGCAGAGAACTACTTCTAGGCTTTCAAAATTTTAAGTATTTAGAGATACAGACTGTTACATTTTTCTAACACTGAATGCCTGGTTGGTTCAAACACCTGGTCTTTAGATCAGTAGCTTAATGCTTTAACCATGATGCCATCAGGCTTCTTATTAATTTGCCTTTGTGGACAAATGTACATATTATATTTTCTTTTTTTATTTATTATAATGAAAGTTTACAGAGACTTTGGATTTCCATTCATTCATTGTTGCACTTTTCTCCCTGCCCACCGCTCCCCCCAATTAGCTCATCTCTTTGAAAAGTAAAAGAAAAATTATTTCATAGTTATACAATCCTTCCCCCCAAGTACACTCCACTATGTAGCCTTCATTCTGGACTCCTGTCATGACAATAATACCTAATCATATACCCCTTTTAAACAGCTCTCTCCCTCATATGTTAAGGAAAGTTGAAGTTGTCTGTAAGTTATAAATCAGATGTTTGTAACCTGGTGACTCTCTGTAACCCACAAGAGGCAAGATTTGTAAATGGTGGAGAAAAGCATAAATTCTACCAGTCAGATACCCTGCTCTGCCCAGGAGAAGGCTTTTCCATTGACTCTCCGGGCAGTCATGAGGGGTCCTCCACTTAACTCTCATTTGGAAAGTCAAATACATTGCACATTTAAGGAAGACTCAAGGAATCCTGTTGGTGAATGAGACACAAAGAGCAGCCTTCAAAGCTCTTTCCCACAACTGTGTCCAGACTTTTAATGAAAAGAGAATCCTGAGTAGTGTCAAATGCAGCACTTCTGGTGCTCTGGTGGCTTAGTTGTGAAGAATTGTATTGCCAACACACAGGCCTGCAGTTCGAATTCACCAGCTGCTCCGTGGGATAAGGATCTCCTGTGTTATTAACTGCCTGTGAAAACCCATTGGAGGGTCAGCAATGGGTTGGTTCTAACTCAATGATACACAGTCAGAACAACTTCTGGCTAGTTGACTTGTTCTATTCTATCTCCAGTTTTACGTAACATCTCTTTTATTTCTATTTTCAGACTCCTTTTGTTCCAGCTTAGAGGTCTGTGTGCTTCTGCATCCTCACCTTTGCTCATACCATCTTCTGCCTAGATCCTGACCCTACCTAATTCTCTTCTCCCCACTAACTGAATCCCACCCTTACTTTGCATCTAGACCATAAGGATCCCCTAGTGCACCAGCTCTCTACACTTTAAATTCAGTACTCTCTGCTCTCTACTGTTACTGTCAATTGCTCTGGTACCTACCATGTTCTAATGTTATTATTAATCTTGTCAAGTGAAAGCTCTATTTCTCCAAGTATGTTCCTCTTAAAAACTAAGATAGACTCATTGAGTATCTGTTGAATAATTTTTAAGACTTTTGGTACACCCATTTGTATCTCAAATAATACTGACTCATTAAATGTTTGGCACTGATGATAATGATAGATGCTAAGTTATCCTGCACACATACACACACAGGATAGAGAGAGAGACATGTACCACCACCCAACCTAGAACCCTCAAATCTTTGTAGCTAAAAACAAAACCTAAAAGCTTTGTTTAAACAAAGTAAATGATGTGTTATTTATTTTGTATTATTTTTTTCATTATTCTCTCCCATTGTAGATTTTGAAGAAGTCTTGCATTGAAATTCTAGCAGCTGAACCGTCTACCATATGTGCAGGAGGTAAGTAGAAATTAAATCATACAGCACAGGAGAGGAAGACCCTCAACGTGATGGATTGATTCAGTGACGGGCAATGGGGGTAGGTGTATCTGAGACAATGAGATTGACACAGGATAGAGCAGGGTTTAGGGCTGTTTTACACAGGGTCGCTATGAGTCGCAGGTGATTCGATGGCATGTAACAACAATAACAACTGTTAATAAGATACCGAATTTTAATCATCTTTTCACTTAATTTGCAGGACAAGAACGATGATATATAAAGAGAAGTTGTTATAGTTATGTACTGTTGAGTCAGAACTGACTCGTACCCGACCTTCCAGCAGGTTTACAGAGACAAGTATTATCACATGGGAGGAGGTTGCCCCTTTTCTCCTATAGAGAAGCACCTTTATCTTTGGGATGCTAGAGCAGCTCCTTTCCTCTAGGCCACCAGAGCTCCTTAAGAAGAGGTAGAAATTGCAAAATATATTTACTTCTGGGGGAAATAAAAAGAAAAACATGTCAGTTTTTGAGTTTTAAAAAGTCTGTCCAAATGCTCTCCTTTTATGACCAAATTACAAGGTCAAAGTTCAGTTCTGTTTATCACAGACTATCTATGGGCTGTACTTAATGTGACAGCACTTAACAACAACAAATTATAAAAGAATTGCAGAGATACATGGAAGTTTAGACCAAGGAGCATAAAAAAGCCCAGGAATATCTATGGACATCTGAAGGTTTCCTATACTTGGCTTCAGGTGATCTCTAGGAAGCTATGAGGGAGGACTTCAGGAAGACAAACTTCTTACTTAATACACACAACACTTAAAGCTGAAATCTTCCAGCACTTAAGTGGATATTTTGAACTCTCTGCCCTTGGAATTATGTGAGCAGGAAATAACTAGCCATCTACAACCATATGTTTTCCAGAGAAATCATTCTTTGGTTCTCTTTTACAACTGTACGTTTCTAAAGACTTAATTCCATTTCAGCTACAGAAATAAGGAATGATTATTTTGGCTGAAAAAAACAAGTACATCTGGAAATATTTTACATTTTTGTAGATGGCCTTAGTAGGGTACATAAGGGGTTAGAACATCTTTTCTATTCTGATCAAGGAATTTCAGTCATTAATAGAAGGAAATATCTGGGGTGAGGGAGTGTTCCAAGAAGTTCTTCACTTAAGACAGAGGTTAAAACCTGGCAATCTACATGTTCTGCACATGTTCTTTTTTATTTATACAGCATTTTTTTTAGCCTGAACTTATTGCTAACATTTAAAAATCTTATTTCACCTAAAAATTCAAATCTTAACTTGTCATGAAAATCAGATATTACAATCCTGGTTCATTATAAGATAATTTATTTTAAGATAATAATTATGGGGCTGAATAATTGTCTTTTGGAAAAATGCATTCTTTCCTGTTGTAGTCCTTAGTATTCCCTTTCATTGCACCAATATCTAACGCCTAGCCAAGGTTGCATTTAGTGTGGCACAGTGTCATTGGATTCAAAGTCCTTGCTGCAAAATGTTTAGGAGTTTACCCACTTTATCTGTAGATGAAGAGTGCATGTAGAGAGCCTTCTAGGTTTCCCTTATACTATCACTCACTTATTCGTTACTGCCAAGAATCAACTCATGGTTGATCTTCCAGAGAGTTTTTGGAAGTTATAAGTCACATAAGAGGAGAGTGCCATCTTTCTCACTTAGGGCTGCTGGTGAATATGAAATGCCAGAAAAGTGTTACCTTTGGGTAAGTAGTACAACTATCCACAGACTGTACCAGTAAAGCTCCCCTATGCTATAAACCCTTTAAAAAGTTCTTGATTGGGTGAGCTCTGGTGGCGTAGTGTCAAAAAGCTGCACTGCAATCCCAGAGGTGAATGGTTCAAATCAACCATATGCTCTGCTGGAGAAGGAGGAACAATCTCCTCCTCTACCAGTCAGATTTGATTTGACGACACACACATACACACACACACACACACACACACACACACACACACACGTTCTTGATAAAATATGATTGCAGATTAGCTTCTCTGTAATTGAATTGACCCATTGTTATATTGTCTTTGCCTGCTAGACTCTATATATAGCACCTAACAACAGCAACAGTTTAGCTTCTGTCTAGGAAATGTTCTGAAGTGCTTGAACACCTCTTTTTTTAACTGGCCTTACTTGACTCTGAATGTGAATAACTCACTATGAACTGTGTAAGCACTCTAGGAAGGAAGTCATTATAATTAAGTGTGGACTTGCTACCTGCTCTATATTTTAAGTTTTGTGATCCAGAAACGTCATTTCAGAAGCAGTTTCATTATTCCTTTTGTGTTGAGTTTCCCACGTGATAAACCTGGGGCAGTTAGCAGAATAAAGAGTAATTTTAGGCTTCTTATTTGCCATTTAAAAATTAGGTGCTTAAAATAAGAATGGCCAAGCACTGCCAAACAGTTGTTCCATTTTTAAATTGTTGGTGTTTTGTTTGTTTTCACAGCAGATCTTTCCTATTTTCTTTACCACAAGTACCCTCTCATCAACCATCCTCGCCCATCTGCTGTCACCCTCCATCCCCCTTGAATCCTCATACTCGTTCTAAAACAATATTTAATATAATATTTATATAATATTTGTCCTTCTGGGACTGAGTTAATTCACTTAGCATAATGCTCTCCAGTCCCTCCTAAATTTGGTTAGTTGTCCTTCAGAGCTTCCATTGTTGTCTATTAGTCACTTGTTTGAAATACATTATTTCATTTTCTGACTGATTTTTTTTATTATCAATTTTAATAGACGTTTACAGAGACTTTGGAATTTCATTCATTCCTTGTTGCATTTTTCTCCATGCCCAACCCTTCCCCCCCGCCCCAGTTCGCTTTTTTCTTTGAAACGTAAAAGAAAAATTCTATTATTGTTATACATCTGCAGCCTGCTCCACTATGCAGCCTTCATTCTGGACTCTTGTTATGAAAACAATACCTAATCATATATTTCTTTAAACAGTTCTTTCCCTCAACAGTTTCAATGCATTATTTATCCCTCTTTCTAAGTCTCCCCCTGACACCAATGTCATTCCCGTTTTACAACAGTGCAATATTTGTCCTTTTGTGACTGAGCTATTTCATTCAGCATAATGTCCTCCTGGGTCGTCCATTTTGTATAATATTACATGAGTTATTCCTTTTTCAGTGCAGCATAGTATTCTATGGTGTGAATATACCAGAGATTCTCTATCCATTCGTTTGTTGATGGGCACTTAGGTTGTTTCTAACTCTTTGCCATTGTGAACAAAGCTGCAATAAACATTTCTTTAGGGTATATTCCCAGTAGTAGAATTGCTGAGTCGAATGGTATTTTTATTTCCAACTATTTGAGAAGGTGTCATACAGCCTTCCACAGTGGTTGCACGATTTTATCCTTCCACCAGCAGTTTCTCTACAACCTCGCCAGCATTTGTTGTTTGCTGTTCTGTTAAATTTTGCTATTCTGACTGGGGTGAGATGATATCTCATAGTTGTTTTGATTTGCATCTCTCTTTTTAAAAAAAATAAATACCTTTTTTTTTTAAAATTTATTAGTTTTAATGAACATTTACAAAGATTTTGGGTTTTCATTCATTCATTGTTGCACTGTTTTCTCTACCCTCCTCCCCAGTTCGTTCTTCTCCTCCCCCCCAAATGTCTGTTTTAATTGTCCAATTGCCACAGTGCTTGTCAAAGCCAGTTCTGATTAATCTCCTTTGTCAGTGTGTCCTTTGCCATTCCCTATCTATCACTCCTCCCTGAGAGAGACTTCACCCTGATTCATAAGGAAAAGGGGATGGCTGCATCTGCCTTAAAGCTAGAGATTTTGAACATATCTTCATGTGTTTGTTGGCTATCTGAATGTCTTTTTGGTGAAGTGTCTGTTCATATCTTATGCCCATTTTTCAAATGGGTTATTTACCTTTATCTTGTGGTGTTTTTTGAGTATTTTACAAATTCTAGATATAAGTCCCTTGTCTGACATGTCATTACCCAATATTTTTTCCTTCTCTATGGCTTCCCTTTTTACCCTGTTGGAGAAGTTTTTAGATGTGCATAGGGATTTGATTCTTAAAAGGTCCCATTCATCTATATTTTTTTTAAAAAATTATTTTATTAATCTTAATGAATATTTATAGAGATTTTGGATTTTTATTCATTCATTGTTGCACTTTTTTCTTTACCCCCCTTTTCCCAGTTCACTCCTCTCTTTGAAAAGCAAAAGATATACTTCTTCATTGGTATATAATCCCCTCTCCTCTCCCCCCGCCCAATGCACTTCGCTATACAACCTTAATTCTGGATTCCTGTGATAATCATAATATGCCATCATATATCACTTTGAAACTGTTCTCTCCCTCATCTGTTTCATTCATCTATTTTATCCTCTCCTGGTGTAGATTTTTCAGGATACTTGGAAGACTGTTTTATATTGTGGATTAGGACTTCTAGAGTTCTTCCAAACTTTTCTTTAATGAAGTTTATAATCCTTAGTTTTAGTCATAGGTCCATGATCCATTTTGAGTTGTGGGTTTTTGTTGTTGTTGTTCTGTATGGAATGAGGTGTGGATCGTGCTTGAGGTTTTGGTTTTTTTGTTTTGTTTTTTTTCAGGATTTTCTTTCTTTCTTTCTTAAGTTTTTATTTTCAGTACATTAAATTTACTCATAAAAACATTCTAAAAATGTACAATTTTTCCTTTTTAACAAAGTATAATAAAACATAAAAACCCCAAAAACAATACTTGACATTTACAATTCAAAATCAAACTAGCAGATATTAAATATTTACAAAACTATATCTTTTAAAAATATTTATAAAGTTACATGCAATCTTGTAGAACTGACAAAGAATGGCTCAAAAAATGGGAGGATATTCCTGCATTCCTAAAAAGAGGGCAGGCCGAGAAGCTGTGGGACGCAAGGTCCCCACACAGGCCCAGAGCCGGTGTCCCTTGTGCATGCAAGAACCGAGATGTGGCTTTAGAAAACGTGACG